TGCTGGCAGGCTTGCACCTGGCACGGGCACCGTAGCCAGCCCGTGCCCCTTTAAGGAGTCCGGGGCCGGGAGGGGGGCATAGAGTTTCCCTGGTGTTGGCCAGAGTGGCCACCAGGGAAAGCTGGGGAGGGCTAGCCTCCCACTAGTTCGAATTAAGGGGCTACACACCCCTTAATTCGAACTAGCTAGTTCGAACTAGGCTTAATCCTCGTGGAATGAGGATTACCTAGTTCGAACTAAGCGCTCCATTAGTTCGAATTAAGTTCGAACTAGCGGAGCGCTAGTGTAGCGCCTATGAAAGTTAGTTCGAACTAACGTCCATTAGTTCGAACTAACTTTGTAGTGTAGACATACCCTGAGAGAGCACATTCAGGGGTAAATTAGAGTTAAGCAGCACAGAAAACTAAACGCTAGGACTGGTAGCTGTAAACAAACTTTAGGGGCTGTGGGAAACATGGCCACACCATGAAAAGAGGACATCCAGCTAATTAAAATTATTCTGGACAACAGATGTTTCTGGAGCAGAGTGTTCTGGACTACAGAGGTTCAATCTGTAGAGCCATCGCAGTGATGCTCCTTCTGTCGGCAGTGAGAGTCCTCATCAAGAGCACTTGCCCTGATTTACCCGTCAGTATGGGGCACTGCCAGCACAAGCCCCAGGGCAGCTGTGCGCCGTCAGCCACCGGGACTCAGAGTAGTCTGATACAAGCAATGCAGGATCCACACTGACACTGTGTTGACCTAACTCCACTGATCCATGCCTCTGTGCAGGTGGAGTTAGTAAGCAGGTGTAGTGGAAGACTCACAACAGCTGAAGCAACAATGTAGTGTAGGCAGGTTGATGCAGAGTAGTGCAGACCAAGTCATTTCTCAGGCCATTTCTCATTTTCTTCTGCAAAGAAATCTAGCTAGAGCAGTGTTTCCCCATTTTATTTGGCTGAGGAACCCTTTTCAGACTTTCAAGGAACCCCTAGGTTTGTTAAGCAAAAAAAAAAAGGGGGGGGGGGTGGCGCC